TCCTCCTCTCTCCTCCTCTCTCTCTCTCTCTCTCTCTCTCTCTCTCTCTTTGCTGACTAATTTGTGTGGAAATTGGTCGTTGTGTTGGAGACCGGTTCAACATCGAATCAATCGTCTACGACCAGAAGAAGAACACCATCACAGTATCCGGCCCCTTCAACCCTGACTGCTTCATCAAGAAGATTCGCTGCCTCGCCTGCAAGGTGATCATATGTATCCAGATCAAGCCGAAGCAGAAACCCGTAACTCCGCCACCGCCACCGCCACCGCCGCCTAAGGTGGATGTGAATTTAGGCGTGTGTGTTTACCCGGGGTGGCCCAACTGCTGGGTCTACGGCGGCGTCTGCGACGGCCTCCCGCCGTCCGCCTTCTGCCGTCCCTGTCGCGACGGCTACAATATCATCGTCGAGCAGGAGCCTTGTCAGTCCTGCTTTATTATGTAGTTTCCTATACGTATACTTATTCTCGTTGCAAGATGTTATTGGGTAACAGTAATAGATAACGGATAAGAAGGCGGACTGAGGTAAACGTCATGTGACTTCCTCTGTCAGCAACGTACGTAATATAATATGTGATGATATATATGTCTATGCTGTTATCTCTCAGTCGTCGCAATATGATGTTTATATAGAGATTTTGGTTTATACTCGTAATCTAAATTTAATATACATACAAAATAAAAAATAAAAAAATATATTAAAATTTATAGAGATAAAATAGATAGATAATTTCGAAGCCACAAAAAAGACCCCAACAACATGAAAGATTATAACAAATAGGATTGCTTTTGTTTGAGATATGGTTCAATACACTGGTTGGAGACCCGTCCGTCTCTCCTTTTCCTTGTCAAGAATATAGTTTTCTTTTCTTGAAGATATCATAAAATAATTATATTATTTATGAGTTGAATTGAGTAATTATTTATCAATTCCAACAGCTTAATCTATCAAAAAGAAATTAATATATGTTGTTACCCTTTTAAAAATAAAAAAAAGGACAAGAAGGATCATCTCAATTATAGTAAACCTTTCATAAAATAAACTTTCCCGTCCATCTCGACATTGACGAGAAAGATGATCTCACTGCAGGTTGGGATTGAGCTGCATTACCTACCGTGAAGACGATGGCAGCGACAACGCGTGGTGACTGCCGGTCAATGGTGGCGGCCAATGGTGAACCACACGTCTGGTCGTCTTTTCTTGTCTCCATCCTCGGCTCGGTGGCCTCCCACACTACCAGCCTTGGTACGGATGTGGTCGTTCAGGCCATGGCACATTCTGCATCCCCAGATTTGCTTCCAAGTATGTTCCTCTAAAAGCTTCCTGGAGATTGAGAATGGCAGGATCACTAAGAAATATGACCATTGCTTCCCTCTAAATTCCTCTCCTTTATTCTGTATTAGCAAAAAGGCAGACTAAACACAAAACAAGCATCCAGGAGAAAGCTAGTTTAGATCTGCCATAATGATAAGGTTGCATTTACTTCGATGCTACCAATCAAACTTACATTGTTTTTATTGATGAAAAGGATGTCATATTTGATAAAAGAGACATCTTCCATTATTCACCTAAGAGGTGTCACATGGCACAATAGTGCACGTCAATGATATAGTTTAGATGTGCCATCAGCACATGAATGCACTTCAATAATATAGTTTAGATCCAAAACATTGGATGTGGACAAAGGTAATGAATAAAAATAAAACTTGAGAGGATAAACATAAAATCATAAATGCATGTGTTTTTCCTGATCTCATATGAAATGAAAGGGCAATGACAACAATTATATAGTCATAGTTATTCATTCAACCTCGTTTTTCATACGAGTCGACCACGGAACAAAGCATCCAAGCCTTTCTCAATTATCGAACAAACATTCAAATATTCTTTCCAATCATACCAGACTTCCTCGGTGAGTCAGATTGATCTAGACATCACAAACATTCATCATGTATTCTAACTCGTGATTTGCTCTGATACCCAAAAAGATCACATATTCTAAAAGCTGAAGATGTTAGAAAATAAACCCAATATATGCTTTTATCATAGAAAGCAACAGTGTTTTGTAAGCAAAAGTTAGAATTATATCAGAATAGTAAAAAAGGAGAAGTAGAAGCAATGGCAGCCGCTTTCTCCTAGTCATAAAGGACATCAAGATAGAATTATATTAGAATAGTAAAAAAGGATTTACCTGGCTCGTCGACTGCCTCTATAAAGGGGGCCTTTGGTTCTTCGCTTCTCCCCCAGCCTGGGATCTCATAACTTTCGAGAGATGGCAGAGGTGTTCATCTCTCTCTCTCTCTCTCTCTCTTAAAGATCTGTCTTCACTGTGGTGAGCTAATTGTCTGGATAAAGATGAATTTATTGTCAGCCATGGATCTTTATGTGTTGGTCAACTTCATGCTGTGTTTTTCTTTGATGTGTTCTTTGTTAATTGGATAACTCACATCATACAATCCGGATGAGCAAAAACAGATCGGTCTTGTGGATTTGACCCTTCTTCTTTTAGATAAAATTTCTCTGCTTGGTTTAGATTTTCTTGGACTTTGGAATCAACATGATGTTCTTCAACATTCATCGACTTTTCTACCGAGTCAAAAGCTCCACAACACAAGAAAAAGAAGGCTGAAACTTTTGTTCATGGAAGCCAAAACTGATACATGTCTGCTTGCCTGTGCTTTTCTTGCTCGCCTTGACACAGATAGCCACGGTAATCATCAAGGTTGACCTGCACTGCTGCTCCAACTCCAAGAAGATCAAGAAAGCTCTGTGCAAGCTCCAAAGTAAGCTTCCGTCTCTCTCTCTCTCTCTCTCTCTTGGTGCTGACAAATTTGTGTGGAAATTGGTCGATGCGTCGGAGACTGGTTCAACATCGAATCAATCGTCTACGACGAGAAGAAGAACACCGTCACAGTATCCGGCCCCTTCAACCCTGAGTGCTTCATCAGGAAGCTTCGCTGCCTCGCCTGCAAGGCGATCGAAGACGTCCAGATCAAACCGCCGAAACCCCCACCTTCTTCTCCTCCCAAGGACGAAAAACCAAAGCCCGATAAACCGCCGCCGCCGCCTGAGGTGGTGGTGAAGCTCCACGTGTGTGTTTTCCCGCCCTCGGCGTGGCCCGTCGGTTGCTGCCAGCCGTACCCCTGCTACGAGCCACACCGCGGGTGCCGCCGCAGCTGCTCCTGCGGCCTGCTGTCCGACGGCCGTCACTGTTACAAGGGTGACGGCTACAAGATCGTCCTCGAGTAGGACCCTTCTTATTCCCGCTCTATTATGTAATTTCCTATGCATATAGTCATTCTCGTTGCAAGATGTCATTTGGTAACGGTAATAGATAACGGATAAGAAGGGGGAATGAGGTAAACGTAATGTACGTAATATAATATATGATGATATATGTTTATGCTGTTATATCTCAATCGTCGCAAATACGATGTTTATATAGCGATTTTTTGTTTATACTCGTAATCTAAATTTAATATACGAACAAAAAAAAAGAAGAGATAAAATAGATAATTTCGAAGCCACAAAAAAGAATGGATTTATAAACCCCCAACAATACGAAATATTATAACAAGTAGAAAATTTACAAGTCCGAGCATAAATGATTGCTTTCGTCATCGACTTGACATTTGATTACGACGACATACCGGTTGGAGACCCGTCCGTCTCCTTTTCCTTGTCAAGAACGATGTTAGCCGTTCCTAATGTACCTGTCAACATAGACAAGAAGGATCATCTCACTTATAATATCTCTCCTAAATACCATCTTATCGTAAACCTTTCATAAAATAAACTTTGCCATCCATCTCGACATGGACAAGAAGGATCATCTCGCAGCAGGTTGGGATTGAGATGCATTACCTACCGTGATGACGATGGCGGCGACGACGTGTGGTGAGTAGCGGTCGATGGTGGCGGCCAATGGAGAACGAAGGAACGGTACCTTTTCTTGGTTCCATCCTCGGCTATGAGTATTGATTGCACTGCCGCGAAGGAACGGTACCTTCTGTGATTCAACAAACAAGTACCGAGTGATAATGGTCGCGAGGCCATGAACAAAATGGAGACAGTAGTGAGTTATCTCAACAAGAATCCTGTCCCTGTACCCCGTGCCGGCATTGATAAAACAGCGCCCCAAACACAAGGAACACAGGAAGAAGACAGAACGAAAGACTGGTTTTGAGTACTTGTTCTTCTGTATGTCGAGTTTTCAGTCTTGGGACGGTAAACTTGTTCTTCTGCAACCCGAAAAACCAGAGTATTTGTTTGGGTCACGAAAATAATCTCTCTCAAAGTACATTGGCTCTGAATCTTTACTGGCTCATTTTCCAGACTCGATAAACAGTGCCATATACAACGCACACTGAGAACGCTCGGCCGCACCACACATGGCTTCATCGTGTGACTCGTGACGTTCCAACAACCTCCGGAAGAGGCACTCGCGAAGGTAAGGGTGCTTTAAACATGGCCATGAATCACACGAGGGTAGATACAAGAAAAGCTTTATTCTTGATCAGTCATTGTGTTGGTGGCCCGTCGACTGCCTCTATAAAGGGAGCCTTTGGTTATCCGCTTCTCCACCAGCTTGGGGTCTCAAAACTTTCGAGAGATGGCCGAGGTGTTCATCTCTCTCTCTCTCTCTCTCTCTCTCTCTTAAAAATCTGTGTTCACTGTGGTGAGCGAATTGTGAGGATAAAGATGAATTTATTGTCAGCCATGGATGTTTATGTGTTGGTCAACTTCATGCTGTGTTTTTCTTTGATGTGTTCTTTATTAATTAGATAACTCACATCTTGCAATCCGGATGACCAAAAACAAACAGGATATCGATCGGTCTTGTGGATTTGACCCTTCTTCTTTTAGATAAAAAATCTCTGCTCGGTTTAGATTTTCTTGGACTTTGGATTCAACATGATGTTCTTCAACATTCTTTGACTTTTGTACTGAGTCAAAAGCTCCACAACACAAGAAAAAGAAGGCTGAAACTTTTGTTCATGGAAGCCAAAACTGATTCATGTCTGTTTGCATGTGCTTCTCTTGCTCGCCTTGGCACAGATAGCCACGGTAATTATCAAGGTTGACCTGCAGTGCTGCACCTGCTCCAGGAAGATCAAGAAAGCTCTGTGCAAGCTCCAAAGTAAGCTACCGTCTCTCTCTCTCTCTCTCTCTCTCTTTCTCTTTCTCTCTCGGTGCTGACAAATTTTTGTGGAAATTGGTCGATGTGTTGGAGAACGGTTCAACATCCAATCAATCGTCTTTGACGAGAAGAAGAACACCGTCACAGTCTCCGGCCCCTTCAACCCTCAGTGCTTCATCGAGAAGCTTCGCTGCCTCGCATGCAAGGTGATCAAAGACGTCCAGATCAAACCGCC